AAATTGCAAAATTAAACAAATAAATCAAGTAAAATTAAACGAATTAATCAAGCATGATTAAATAAGATTAATTTCATAACTGGCCTACTTTTTGTAAAACTGGGATGCGGAAATCGTCGTAACAAGATATTATAAACAATTATTAGGCGATAAGAATGCATGCAAATATTATCATATAAAAAGTTCAATTATATATTTGTAAAATGTATTACAAATTTGATTATTGATGTAGCTGCATTATAAGTTTTCGATCTAAGATGTAACAAAACATTTAAATTAAAAGATATTTCAACTTTTTCGCGAAATGCGTGCAAGGCATAAAAGAAGGCATCTCCGATCCCACAAGGTATATATATTCTTGATAATAATCAACAGCAGAGTGAATAAAGACATGTTCGTCTATGCAAAAAAGACTGTCAATTTTTGAGATACATTTGTCGAAATCGGCATCCTTTGGTTCCTATAGCATGTAGTTGATGCAAGAGTTTCGGTCAGAACAGTTTGTGGGAAACACTTTCTGGCTATTTTAAATACGTTAAGTAAACCCACACATTTTGAGATTTATTCTTGTGGAAAAACTTGGAATAAACATATATTTTTTTAAAGTTGTTTATTTCCTATATCACATATAGCTGCAATATGTATAGGTCGAAAAACAAGTTTTTTACAATGCTTTTTACATTTAAATACTAGGCACACTTTTCAATAGGAACTATCTGATTACAATTTTCGCCATAAACATTTCTTAACTAAACCAAGCAACTTCCAGTTAGGCATAAATACATGCTAACCTTAACTTGGACTTTCGGCTTTCTGGGAGCCGTCCAATAGAGGGCCATCTACTAGTTAACTCAGTTACTTAAACTCACTTAAGCACTTATTGAAATAGAGATACTTACTCGCTAGCTCAGTTCCCACTCACTGGCAATAAAATGAGGCAAATACAGAAATTTAATATCGCAACTGTCGTCGTTACATTATGAGACATGGAAACTCTATATAAAAAGTTGGAACGCAGCGCTAATGCATTACGAATGAACTTCTGGGCAGAGAGCAAATAAAGCCAAGCCAAGCAAACGAAGCCCAGAAGGAGCAGAGCAAACTATGTGTATCATAAAATGCCATCGAGACAACAAAGGAGAAAGGAGCGACAGCTGGGCATGAGAACGCGCCACTTGTGGATGGAGTCAGACAGACGGCGAACACCATTATGCGGCATCCCTCGTCTGGGCCAGATGACGCCGTGTGTCGACCGGGCAGGCAGGCAACCACCGGCTGACTCCCCAAATAAGCCATCGCATCGGACCAAGGGATGAGTGCATAGTGCAAAAAACCAGCAATATTCTTGGCCAGCAAGCGAAAGTGATTGAATTCCAACAAGATTCGTGGCGCCACTCGAACTGCCGTCTCTGAAACGTTCCAAAAATTCTAGACGCTGTGGAAGACTTTCTCGTGCAGTTATGCAGCGCATAAACTTGGCTGATAAAGCTTATGGAATATGCATTCAAAAGATAAGTGAAGATAAAATGTGTAGAATAGAGTATTGAAATGGATTAATATAGAAAAACATTAAATACATGTTGTATATCATATAATGGAATATACTTATCCAGTTATATCGAGAATGTGATTCAACTTTATACCTATTTTTACATATTTCACCAATTTTGTAAATGGGTGAAAAGTTTCTGTGCCTCATTATTTCTGTTCGATCTGATTCATAATAATTTTTTAAGATATATCTTTGAAATTCTTCGTAAATTATTCATATAGATAGACGCCATTCACAGGCAGACATTTTGTCGTTTTATCATTCTCTGTGATTTCTTATTTCTTTTTGTTGACGCATCCGTAAATGTTAAGCTGTCTGAAACCCAACCAAATGGGCATTTGTTAGTTTTGTGCTTAATATTTTAGATATTTTCATCTTAGATAGATATCATTCAGTTCAGTATCTTGAACTCTAGGACTGAAAAATATGTGCAGGATTAGGCAATTTGCAATTCGGTGCAAGCCACGCCCCCAGCTTTCCTCGAGCTATTCGGCCACAGAGCGGCCGCCGTGTTGTGGCAGCACTTTATTTACAATTCATTTCCTGTTATTTTCCGCTTGACATTTGCCGCAGTTTACACAGACAGGTGCCCAGAAATCGGGGCTAGTATGGTCTGCTAGACAGGTCTGCCGCCCACACAACTTGCCCCCCCTTCCCCCTCTCCCACCATCAATTCGTAGCATGTCGCGCATGCACAAATCCTTGGAGTGTTCAGGGCCCCCGTATCATCGTCCTGGTCTAGAAATGTCCGTGTGCCTGTCGTGCGGCCATCATGTGTCCCGGTGTTTGCAGAAATGAATCGCCTGCCGCATATCGAAGTTGCCAAAAGTTCCGTTTTGCGCAGGAAACCAATCAAGGTGGGGCGTGGGCTTTGGTATAGGCCGGCAATGCAGCAGAATTTATGAGGCAAGGGTGTGGAAGGGGAGCTGCACATTCATTTCGAAAGTTTTGTTTTATTGGAAAAGGGCTAAAAATAATAATTCTTGGGAAATACGGAAAAAGGGAAACTGGCTTAAAATATGAAATAATTGACAGCCCAAGGAAAGAAAATTGAATGCAATTAAAACTATTTGGCACTGGGGCCTCAATTAGTTAGACGCAGTTAACGCCATGTGCAGTTGGACAATAATAAAAGTTAGCACAGTTTTCATAATGAAATCGGAAACCGGTTATTGCAACAACAATAAAAGCTTTGCCTTAGCCATTGTTGTTGTTGTTGTTGTTGTTGTTGTGTGACGGCAACAGCAGCTGAGATTTTGCAGCTGCCCGTGGAGCAAACAGCAGGTGAATCAGTTAAACGGAGTGAAGAAGAGAAGAGAAGAGAGAAAACAACAGTAACAACAATGCAAGGCATCGGCCAAGTTTAAAGACAAAAGCAACCAAAACACACACGCACACACACACACGCACACGCCCCGCAGACGACGCAAAGTGGAGCAAGACACAAAACAAAACACGACAAAAACAAAGGGCAATAGTTGAGGGCCAAGCGAGAGCGACTAAAAATCAATAGAAATAGGAAGCGCACGCACAAAGGACAACATTACAAAAGCAACAGCATAAAAAATATACTTACAATAATCGTTGTAGTTGGCTGCTGCTGCTGCTGCTGTTCTTATCGTGCGCAACGTTGAATGTTTTTACATACAGTTGGCGCCACACACACAATCGGTTCAAGGAGGGGGCGCTGGTGGTGTGTATGAATATTCAACAAACAGAAACAGAGGGTGGCCTATTTGGTATATCGCTGTGTCTTTGAGTAAATTGCACAATTGGAATTTGGATCAGCACACGTATGTTATTTACGTTGATTGCCGGTTTGTTTATTCAAATGTCAATTAACACTAACGTTTTTAATAAATTTAGGAAAACGCACGGCATACATCTCCTCACGTTAAGCTCTGAAATGTAACTGCAATCTTCGTCAAGACAGGCCGATAAACTGTAGTCGACAATTGAATGGCTGCCAACTTAATTTTCTTTAATATGTGTGCATACACTGGCTGGTCGACTGCTTGACGTTCTGGCAGCTCTGCACATATCGATACGCGAGTTTTTTCATTTTAAATTTAAATCTAGTGTGTAGGGGCACATACACCTATACTTCCTAATTTGAGCATATATTTTGTCACATTTGTTTAAAGCTATGTTTTTTATACTATCGATAAGTGTGCAAGCGACTTGTGTTTCGACAATGTGACCATAAACATTGCCATACCTATCGATAGACAACCGATAGCTCCTCTGTCTTCTTTAGCATTTCGCGGCGCTAGCTCGTATATTTTTTGCAAATAAACGTAATTAAACTGCTACAAAGTGTGCATACTTTACAAATTATCAAAATAACGACACTCAACACACAGGTAAGTGTCTGTTAAATGCCAAAATACCTATGCAGACGCTTGAAATAAAAACTCACGGATTCACGCATACAGTTACATTCGGCCATGCGAATTTGCGAATCTCGTGTACAAAACGCCATTAATTGTCGCAATACCATTTACACTCCAAACATGCGAATGGTTTTGTAGTTCTTGTGTTAAATAAATGTCCGTTAGCGTTACCGGTGTGTGTCTTTTTGCGCGGTTGCAGTGGCTGGCAGCGAATGGCGGGCTCACACACATACGCACAGGCGCATTGAGACGCGCGCACAAAAACACACAGACACGCACGCACTCACACAGGTGAATGAACTTTTTTGCGTTGTTTTGTAATCTCGATCTTTTTGCCGAACACACACATGCCTATACAAATGTATGTACACCAAACCACATGCATACATATTTAATTGTTTACAGTGCGTGTTAATTAAACAACTGCAACCATTTTGTTTTTGGGCACATGCCGCTCCTCTCCCCTTCCCTCAATCTGCCGCCTCTCTCCCCTGGCCCAAAACCAATGAAGATCCTCGCTCAGCTGCAATTCGCACTTTTATTGATCTTAACGTTCTCTTTGGCGAAATTGTCGCACATGTTTTCGTTAATGTTTTTGTAATTTTTTTTTTGCGAGTTCATTTGCATATTTGTTTAATTTGTTTCCACAGCAGCAGCAGCACAGTGTTAATGAACCTGCGTTCGCGTTTTCCCCTGATATTTTAACAAATTAATAATTTTTTTCGTCCAATTCGACAGATGTGTCGCTGTTTAAATGGTTATTAATAGATCGATCGCCCACGCGTTCCATATTCAAAAGAAACTGCAGTTTGTTTTTGTATTTAAATAATTTTAAATAATATAATTTGGTAAGTTTTTTTTGTTAAGGCAAAGCGTTTGCATAAAAATACACTTGTTGGTTTTATAAGAACATATTTCAGTGGATGCTCTTAATACACAAATACAATAAGTTTAGTAAACCATAGTTTATAGCACTCTATGAATAGTTTTGATAGTTGTATTGGTTTAACCTATTCTTTTTTTTTTTTTTGTATTATTTTGTAAGCAACAGTACTACATTATTTTTCGGCCCATTAATTTGAGATAAGCTAGAAATTGCTATGCAAGCGATATTGTTACTAGATAAGAGCTTCGAAGCAAAAGCCGTGTTTTGGTATTTGTAAATAAATTCCGAACATTTTCAATGCTATATAACAAATGTTTTTATGGCCTGTATAATGTGCGGTGTGTAAGAGTTGCTCAGTATTTAAATATAATGTATACAAAAATTGCATTGATACAGAGAGGGAGCGAGAGACAGAGAGAGTATCGTAAATTTGATTTACAATAAGTATAAGATATAGTTTTATAAGTATAAGTATATGTATAAGTATAAGTATACGGTATAATATAAGAACAAGGCAATTGATTCTGTTGCGGTTTCATATTTTTGGTACATTTTCCAACACTGATAACTGAGTAGAGGGCGCGCATTCAAAGTAATCGAAATCAACCGTTTAATATGCAGTGTGGAATTTCAAGAGAGACAGATCAGGAATTAGTTTCGTAGTGGGAGAGTTGGAGATTCAAAGTATGTATTTGCCTTTGCCCCGATGCTCCGCTTGCCGCGTCGACGATGTGGCGCCAGCCAGCAAGAAACTGGCGCTGGTGCCGCTGCTGTTACTGTTGGTGCTGCCGTAGCTGCCATAGTAGCCGTCATAGCTGCCATAGCCGCTGAGCGGCAGGGCGTTTAGCTAAATCATGAGCGCCGAGAAGGGGTTGTACCGCATGATCTTTGACAGCAGAATCCATAGCACCGACGTTATGGCGCAGAGCACAACGCCGCCCCAGCCCAGGTCCAGACTCCACGAAGTTAGGAATACACGTGCGCCCAGCAGCGGTTTGGCCATAATAGCGACTCCGCCCGGTCGCGCCACAATCCCATCGACGGTGCCATCGTAGTCGCTGTCCAACATCGGGCGTCCCTGCTGCCGTTTAAAGTGTATTATCATCAGCGTGAACAGGGCAAATAGAGCTGTAAACGGAGAACAGAGAACATTTAGTTGGGATCAATTTATTTGATTGCGGGTTGGGCCTCCGATGCTGCTTACCCGCCAGCAGATACATGACGCCCGTAATAAGGATGGCACTTATTTGACGCTGGCAGACGCCGAAGGCGCCCACCAAAGCGGCGCTGCCCAGAATGATGAGGCAGACGAGTGAGCAGGATATGGACAGGTTTTGCATTCCTGTTCGATCAAAATCAAATTTTAATTCATTGCACCTCATATTCGATATTAAATGTAAACACAATATCCACTTGGGGGCATTATTTACAAAGATTGAGGAAACATAAATAATGGAATGTCATGCAGAGCAAAAGCCAATAGCTGCTGTTGTGGATAAAAGCTCAGGGTTATTCACAGAGATGTGTAGATGTTGGTAGATGTTGTGCTTTGAAGCATGTTCCCTGAATTAGATGTTCCAAGCTGAACAAGTCCGTCCTTAGAGGGGGTATTATACTTATGACATGACATATGTAACACATAAAAGGAGGCATCTCCGACCCTAGAATGTATATTTACATATTCTTGATCAGTATCAACAACCGAGTATCAGGTAGTACATACGTAGAAAACGTCCGGATCGGACCGCTGTCAGTCGAAATTTCGGTTTTTTTTTTTTTTTTTTAATATTTTATTAATATAGATTTCCTAGCCAAACTTTATTAGTTTTCCTGATCTGCTTACATATGAGTATAATACAAATAACATCCGACAACTATATCATATAGCTGTCATAGGAACGATTCGTCAAAAATTAAGTTCTTGTGATCTTTTGTTTTTTAAAATATCTTTATCAAACTTGACATTCACTAGTTCTACCATACTTTACACATATGAGATTGTAGGAAATAGGATATAGGAATAATCTTTCGAAAATGTTTTCTCTTACTTTTTTTACGAACTTCAAAATGATAACTTTTTTTCTAACATTTAATCGATATCGCTACGTTTTCGCCAGTATCTATTGGATTTGAAAGCTTTAGCTTTAGAGTCTATGTAGTGCATTGAAAATTCCTCTAACGGGCATTCACAGTTGGCGGACATTTTCTCTTATTATATGAACAATTTATAAAGCGGGCTTCCCCAATTGAAGAGGTACGCCTCCGTGGGTCTGCATATGTTTCGTAATTACTCTAGTGAGCATTGAGCCAAGTGTTATCTGATGAATTTCATTCGATTTGCCGTTTATTTTTTTGTATCTTGGCTGCATTGAATAACTTTTCCCCCGTATCGATGTTCATTTTTTTTTACGTTTCTCATGGGCTTTTAAAATCTAAACCCAGCTATGCGCGTTCTCTTTTAACTGTCGCATAATACCCACAATCATGGCACTAGTAAAACCAATTACCCAATGCAATACACAGACTGTGCCAATTAAAATCCTAACGCGCTGGCGGACAAAACAAACTCGCCTAAAAACCAAAGTGGCAATCGCGATTTACAGAGCTTCGTGGTTCACGGGGGCGAGCAGCCACAAGCCAAACCACATGATGACCTATTTTTTTTTATATATTACATTCTTTTCTTTTTTTGGTTCTCTGCTGTCCGCTCGCTCGAACGAAGGGCGCCTGACATCGAGCTGGGAAGGGGTACACGTGTGTGCTTCAATATCGACTGTGGTTCGGCGCTTAACTTAGTTACTAACTGCTGGTAATTACTGTGTGCATGTATTTGGTGTCATTGTCTGAAAGGTTACAAAGGTTTCACGGACGCTTTTTGTGTATATGCACTTTTGGATGCTTTCCAATACCCTCTACCCATTGCATGTGGGCTTCAAAAGTTCTTATGATTTTGTGCGCATGTATGTCAAAATCAGGGAACTAGAGCCAGAGACTCGAATTTTGGAATGTAGGTCCTTCTATTGCCCGCGTAGATATAGTTTTTTTTTTCAAATGATGCCCATGCTTTTTATTTTTTTTCAAAATTTGATCAATTATAGATTATTAATTAGAAATACGTTCAGATAGACCACGAAATTAAAGAATATATGTTTTGCTGCAGCTTGTTGCTAGTTAAAAGGGTGTCTCCCAGTCGAGCACACCCGACCAAAACACTTTTGGTTTTTTCCTGCTTAATGTACTCAAAGGATTTGGGCCAGATTCGGAATCTTTCCATTGGGGATTTGCGTTAATGACTTGTGAAATGTGCGGGCAGCGCGAAAGCAGGCGAACTTTTTAAGCCAGTATGGATGAGTTGAATCAGTGAGCCAGATAAATGAATATGTGGTATATGCTGTGAAAGTTGTGTCTGGGCGGGCAGTAAGCTGAGTGCGTTACGAATGCGAGAAATATGAATAAAGTGTATTATTTATTTGCGTTCTCGCCGGTCTCTCTACATACATCGAAGGTGACGTCTAGGGCACAATCTCTACATACGTTGTTAGGTTGTGTTGGGAGCAGGGAATTTATGTGTGGAATCAAAAGATTAAGCGCAAATCTATGTTGTGTTAAGCTAATTAAATACAATTGAGGTAGTCAAAAGAATAAATAAATTTTAAAAAATTAAAAAATTTAATGAACTTATTTACATCTAGATACTACGATAATAAATAATAGTGCTCTAGACGGCAGTGCCCGACTAGGGAATATCCTGCATCTGTTTCGCTGTATAGATACAAAAACTCTTCTTCCCTCAGTTCCACTCTCTGGCAAATGCAGCCTTGATTCACTACGGTGATTATTGTCCGATCAGGGATAAAATATAGCATAGAAAACTGAGGATGTGCTAAAGCTAAAGGTTTTATCAGATAAGTAAAGTATTGTTGAGCTTTCTTAGATTCTGGACAGACAGACAGATGGAAATGGTAGTCAAATCTCAAAAACGTTCGAAAGCGACAACGACAACTAGATAAGGAATAAAGTGCCCACGAAATGCTCCTCCTATAAGTCGGACGTTAGTTTACATCGTTTAAGTTGAGGGGCGAAAGTCCTAGATTGCGTTGCGCAGCTAGAAAGTAAAATTTCCTCAATTTGTCCGGAAAACACAGACAATATGAACATTTGTTTCTAGAAAGGGAATTGATTCTACCCATTTCCTGGCAAACGTCCAAAATTGAAACAGCTGCATCCAAAGTCATTCAGAACAAACATTCTCTGATAAACATAAAGATAGTAAGAAGTTTCAATACAGCATTTAATTAGTTTGCTGATTGGGCCGCAATATGAAAAATGGGGTTGTTGAACGTGTTGAGACCGCTCGATGTGAAGAACCTAGTTAAGTTCTATGATGGCCACTTTTTAAGGTGTGGGAATCGAGTCCATAGACGTATGGTGTTGTGGCTTCTCATCTGTCCTCAGTTGGCGTGAACTTTAGAAACAATTTCGGAGCCACCTGAATTCGCAATGTTATTATTTTGATTTCAGCAAGGCCACCCAATTTTTTACTAGCGTATATATATATAGTAATATGCATATATATACACAAATTAAGTATTCTCTATCTTTGCAGTTTACTTCGCAAGGAACGCCGAAATGTCCGCCGAAGCTGAATCAATTGTCACAACGGCTGCTGCCGATGCAGCGCCAGAGAAGGCAGCCATCGAGCCCGTCGCTGCGGACACCACGCCCGACAAGAAGGTGCCTTCAGATGTTGCTGTTAACCCGGAGCAAGTGCGTGCCGAGAAAATACTTAAGGGCAAGGAGCTGTTTAGTCAGGGATCACGCAACTTTCTAGTAAAGAGCTATGACGAGGCAGCCGATGAACTGAGTCAGGTGTGCCAGCTATACGAGGAGGTGTATGGCGAATTGGCCGACGAACTGGGACAGCCACTGTTGCTGTGAGTAGCTTGTGAATTCAGGGCTGTGACTGAAATAACTTGATGTTTGTTTTGCTTTGCAGCTACGCCAAATCGTTGATTGCGATGGCGCTAGATGAGAACAAAGTGATCGATGTGCCCGACGAGGCAGCCGATGACGATGAAGAGGATGTGGACGAGGATGACGATGAAGAGGGCGAGAGCGAAGCGAATGGAGATAAGCCAGTTGTGCCCAAAGTAAACGGAGCCACAAATGGTAAAAAGCTGGAAAGCATTAAAGAAGGTGATGCCGACGAGGCCGATTCCACGGGCGATGCCGGTCAGTCTAAGCCAGAAGAGGCAGCCGGTAGTTCCAAGCCACCAACGGGAGTGGATGAAGTGAGCAGCAGCAATGGTAACGCTGCTGCATCGAACAACGAGGATGAGCGTCCCAGCACTTCTAATGGCGAGGTGACAGCCAGCACCAGCAACGGTGCACCAGCAGCAATGGATGTGGACCAGGCCGAGGAAGAAAACGAAGAGGGCGAAGGTGTTAGCGGCAGTCTTCAATTGGCCTGGGAGATACTCGAGGCGGCGACCAAGATTTTTTCGCGCCAAGGTCTCAGCGGCTTGCCTTACCTGGCTGATGTGCAAACGGAGCTGGCCAACATCGAATTCGAGAATGGTATTCTGGATGCGGCACGCGAGGATTACGGTAACAGATCAAAGCAATTGTAAATTGGCAGTCCACTTAATATTTAATTGCTTGCAGAGAAAGCTTTGAAGATACATGCGGAGCTGCCCAAAAAGAATCGTCGGGCGCTGGCCGAGCTGCACTACAAGATCGGGCTTACATATCTGATGCAGCAGCTTAACAAGGAGGGCGCCGCAGCTCTGCGCAACTCTAGCGTGCTTATCGAGGAAGAAATTTCCGAGATCAAGAGCAAGGAGAACCCAACCGAGCGTGAGAAGAACAACATGCTGGACTTGGAGGAGACCAGACAAGAGATTCTGGTCAAGATTCAAGAGATCGAAGAAACACAGGCACAGGTAAGTGCCAAAGAAACATGAATGGAAATGATTCTGATGCTAATACTTATCCAATCATTGCAGACAATAGCAGAGGTGCGCGCTGCTTTGGACAGCTACATCAAGCCCATGAGCAGCAGCAGCAACAACGGTGGGGATGCAGCTGCCTCCTCATCGACAGCCCGTGCTGGTGGGGACACTGTTGCTTCCAATGGGGCTGCGTCCAGTTCTTCATCGGCCACAGCGTCTGCTGCCTCCTCGTCGGCCATCAGTAGCAGTTCGAACAAGCCCACAGACATCACGCATCTGATCAAACGTAAGAAGCCCGAAGAGCCTAGCTCGGAGGCCGAAGCTGTCTGTTCGCCTGCCAAGCGTGCTGCTGTTTAGAAGTCGCTCGAAGTCTGCACATTCCAGTTAAATACACACAAACACACACTCACACACGCACACCAACAACACCAGCAACACCAATACATCAGCTACTTAAAACTCACACAAACATACTTATACACATGCTTATCCTTCCCCAATATTCCTATTTAAGATTATGCTATTTGTTTTTGCTGTTTACTACAATCATTTTCTATAAGTCTGTAAGATTACAATCACAACTAGTGCTAAGTGCTTACATAAAATAATGTTTTTATACTATTAAAAAGAAAAAACGGTATCGAGAGCAAAACGAATGAATCAATAATAATAAAAGTATAATTGCCTCAAAACGAAAATTGTTGAACAAAGTGTGTCCAAACTCAAGATCTGGATTATGGATTTGGTTCGGGCAGGATTGCGCCCATAATACGTACTCAGATGCGGCTGCAGTGTGATGACCTGTGACTCACTGTGCTGCCAATCGTTGCGCTGCTCCTCGCCGCGTGCGTTCTCCATGGACCCGGCCAAGTAGTTGACACACGGCGGTGCACCGCGTGGAAACTTTGGATTGCGGCGCAACTCCTGCAGCTGTGGAATGGGCAGATCGATGCACAGCGTCCAGATGCCGCCGTGCATTGGCACCAAAAAAACGGAATCGCGTCGAAAACGATGATCAGCTATTAAGTAAAAAGTATAAAATTATATCAATGTAAATATTGGGAATGTCGACTATTATGCTATCTTAAATTATAATTTAAATCCTTTCAGGGGGAATTCTAATTTTTACAGTGAAACGTCTTTACACATTTAATTTGTTTATTTTTTTTTTTTGTAATAGAATTTAATTAAGGGATAAGTTGAGAGCTTACCTCTTTTATCTGGCTTAAGCATAGCCACCTGATCATCCAGAAGCCATTCCAGATGCAGGCCCGATCGATTCGAGTAACGATCCAGACTGTTGCGATCCCATGTTACGTGCTCCCAGTGATCAGTCATTATGGCGGCACACAACATGGCCGTGGCGCTAGTGGTCATTAGCAGCGTGACGAAGAGGAACAGGACGGGCGGCGGGCCCATGCAGCAGCTGGAGCAACAGGCGCTGCCACCAGTTCCACTGCCCATGCCCATGCCGTCCATTTGTGAGCTGAGCGATGTGGATGTCTCCAAGGCGACGGCGCCGGCGCTGCCGCTACCCCTGCGCTGTATAACCTTGGCGCAGCTGTTTTGCCTGAGCAGGATGCTGTTGCTCCTTCTCAGACTCTCGACGGCGGCAGCTGCTGCCGCTGTGGTCGCTGCGTTGCTGGCACCGTCAAACTGCAAGGAGCCGCCGACCACAGACGAGGGATGCTCATAAATGCTGTTGCGCCGACTGGGCGCAAAATAGTAACATGTGGTTTGTCGGGGTGTCACCTCCGCTAGCTCTGGTCCGCCCGGTAGCTCCTCATTGCTGCTGGAGTAGACAATTGATTGCTTGAACTGATTGGAATAACAGTTCTGCTTGAACGGCTGCGATGACGGCTGTGCCGGTGGCTGCTGCACGTAGAGCGCCTCGTAGTCACAGTGATGCGGATTGCGATAGATGACTGGCCAGGAACGCGTGGTCTTCGAGTTGTGGCTATACCTATTGGTCGTAGGGTTCTGTGCTCCAGCCGTAATTGTGGCAGCGGCGCAGCGCTCCTCTACCAGCGGTGTCAGCTCGTTGGGCGGCTCAATGTCACTCAAAGACTGTTGCTGCTGCTGCTGTTGCTCCTGATCCTGTTCCTGCAGCTGCTGGCGCTGCTGCTCCTGCTCCTCTAGCTGCGTGGTTGTCGCCAGCTGACGCTGCAGCACATTCTTGTTGGCGCCGCTGCCACTGGCCGACCAAGTGACTTGCTCCGTTGACAGCAAACTGAAGTCCTCCTCCTCGACCAGAGTGGCGCCGCCCGCGGCCAAGCCTAAGCCTGGCGAGAAAATGCTGTTAGACGTTGGCTGTGACCGGCTGCGCAGCAGCGTTATGTGTTTGTTCGGTGCTTCATGTTGTTCTTGTTGCAGTTGCTGCTGCTGCTGCTGTTGGCTGACACTGGTGGGCGATGTGATGCTCACTTCTGGCACACAGCGGGCGGTCACCTTGTAGCGACTGCCGCTGCCAACGCTGACGCCGACGCCGACGGCAGCGCCGGAGCCGGCGCCCTTGGCCCGCACCAGTCATAAATCAGAGCTGTCGCGTTTCTTGATCTTGTTCAAGCTCATGTTGTTCGTGGTGGTTTGGGCTGTGGCTGTGGCTGTGGCTTTTGGTGGCTGTGGCTTTTGGTGGTTGCTTGCTTGCTTGCGATGTTCTGATGAATGCTATTGAAGGTGTTGCTGTTGCTGTTGTTGTTGTCTGTTGTTTGTTGTTGTTGTTGTTGCGTTTACTAAATTGTGTGCGGCGCCTAAAAGTCTACTATGCAAAATGTAACTTTGCTTGTGCCACAAAAGAAAACTACGAGCGGCGTTTGTTCTTGTTGTTGTAGTTAGTTTCTTTGTTTTTGGTTTTTTGTTTGTTTTTTATAGTTATTGTTGCTTTTGTTTAACGCTAGTATATGTACCAATTTACAGTTATGTTTTTGATTTTTTCAATTTGATTTTGTTTATGTTATTTTGTTATAACTATTTGTTTTTGTTTTCTGATGATTTCTCGTTTTACTACGTTTTGCAAATTGTTTGTCTTAGCTTGAAGCTATAAAAAAAGAAAAGAAGTAGAGAAAACAAATGTACAACATGAGTTTTGAAAGAATTGAGAGCATCGAAAGTTGAGTCTAATACAAATATACAGATAGATCAGCGATATAATCGCAGATAGAGATATATTAAGGTGGATGCTAAAATCAAAGCGACTAAAATGCGTGCGAGTGAGATGGCGCTAATGAACATGCAACATGCAACATGCAACATTGACTACACATATTCACACATAGATATTATGATGTACATATTGACGTATGAAATTCAAATTATATTGTAATTACATTAGACGGCGCTTCATTTCTATCAGATTCTATAAGATTCCAGGCTTTGGTCTTGTCGGTGGAGATGCCTTATCAAAAGAGATGTCGTTTAAATAATAAAATGAAAAAAAAAAACAAACAAAATTGTTGTAGCCCGGAATTGTCTTACGCCCAGAGGTTGTCACAGGCATTTGAAGTTCTTAAAATGAGATCAACCAAGTGTGTTTATATACCAAAGTCTTAAAATATTCCTAATCAGTTTAAATTATACCATGACATTCATACGTTTTTAGCTATTCTATTAAATGAATAATCGATTATATACATAATTTGTGGGAAGAAGTTCTTAGTTGTAATAGTTTCTAAGAATGGACATAGGTAAATGACTAGATCAACTTTATGGAATCGTAGAAACCTTCTGCATTCTGTTACATACATTAGAATTAAACCATTTTTACCAATTATACCAAATACCAAGCCTTAATCCTTCATTGGGTATACCCCATTTTAACCTTATAGCAAACACCTTATCTCATTCCTTAATGTTTGTTAAATTCCCGCATGCGTATGCCCAGGCAGATTTAATAAGCCAAAACACCAAAAACATTTAAGCATCAACTCTGAGAAAAGGGTAAAACATAGGGAAGAGGAAACACATCCAATTTTCCCAAAAGTTCTTGTTTACCAGCTTAAAAGCAAATCAACTTCATTTATTAAGGAATCACAAGTGATTCATAAATCCCAACGTGCTGACATCAAAAATGCTGTTTTATTACGTGCAAATTGCATTATCTTTTGGTTTTCTGAAGTGTCTAAGCGAAGTTTAATAAGGAACTTAATTGCATTTGCAATTCCAAGCACAATGACCCGAAACTAATTCAATTTGATTGTGCCAAAAACTTTATTCGCGAAACTCGCGTAATTCAGACTTTCAATTATATGCTCTGGCCCCATCAGACCTGACCCGCCATGTGTCCCGAATCCGTGGAATGTGTGTGTGTGCTGCATTTTGCATGTGAGCCGCACAACCTCAACGCTGGGCGGACATCCGGACTGCCTATGAGTTGGCCTTCCTTCCACCGAGGCCGCAGACCCCGGTTGCAATTTAAATTTTGCCCAGATAAATGAATCAGGCTATATATATATATATATATTCGCTGGCTACTTAGCCACGTACGTTGATGGAGCAGGTGTAGAAGCATGTGTTGAGCCCCAACCATCTGTCATAGTTATATGTGCTATCCGGAAGGCCACTGGCATTTCTCCCTGTGTATGTTGGTCAACAACTGGAATTGCAAGTGCGAGCGGAATGCCGCATATGTGGTTCGCTTTGCGTTTTTCGTTTAATGTAATAAAAGTATTTGCGGCAGCCTTGGTAAAACCAAATAGTTCTCGGTTTAATATATTTTTTATTTGTATTATAAATTTATTTACGCTTAAAGCTTATTCAACTTTGATATTCTCTGGTAGAGATGGGCGCGGGCCCGGTGCAATACGGTCGAGTATAAAGAAATTATAAGTTAATCGATTCTTTCCTAGATTAAGGATGTTGGGAATCTGTCTGAATCTGCATTTATTGCATAACATGATTCTAGCACAATATCTATTTCAAATCTCTTAGTTAATTTTTTTTAATAGTTATCGTCTAAATAACTCATAGCATTGTTTTTGCGCAAGTTTAGTTCAGAGACCGTGCTCTTTTAAGAGTTAAATACATCTAGGTCTAGGTTTTTGTATAGTATACACAAATTAATATAATTGAACTTTTGGACAACGTATGTGTGTGTGTGCATTTGTGTTAAAGTGTGTGAGTCTAAGAGAAAGCTCCTAATTGGGGCTCTCTAGTTCTTGGCCCAAGATTGATAGATTGTATGGATAACACGGCTGCATTTTTCTTTATCACTTTATCCTGCGGATAACAACAAATTAAAAAGTCCACTGCTAAATCCTAGTTGCAATGCAACTGACATGCTGACATGCCAAAGGTGGCATCTCCCACTGCACTGCCAGTTATTAAAGGCTGCTTTGAAGGCCGAACGAACGATTGAGACATTTAGTGGCAAGGGCTGCTGAGTCCCTTTGGCAGTACTTAATTTACTTTAGTTGGTTTAACACTTATGATACGGCTAACTGTGGCAGCAGCATCTCAAAAATTGCGATGTGACAGCTGCGTGGCGTTCAAAATACTCATCAATGTTACCTCTCCAGGGGACAGCATGGTATCTCTCGGTAATTAAACAGCAAAGCATATTAAGTTCAACTTTTACGTTGGCAAGTGAAAGACGGTGGCTTGATGGAACCTCAAAAGAAACAACTTGTGGTATATAAAGAGAAAATATAGGGCGTATTCACGTAATTGTTAATTAAAAATTAATTGGTCTTTATACTAAAAAGTGTGTAACAGGCAGAAGGTGGCATTTACGATCTAAGAAGGTAGCACAAAATGTTGAAATGTTGGACGACGAACTAGGACGTCTGTGTGAATGCGTCGATCTCGAAATTTACTACAGCCATAGGCTTGAAATTTAATTCATATATTCTCCTAAATCATAAGGTAAAAAGTCGAAGCTATTCAGGATTGCAGTTTCCAAAGGAAAGAAGAGGGCTGCGTCAGTATGTGTAGTTTTGAGTGTTGGTTGGATAGGGTATCACTTAGTCGGGCACACCCACCTAAAGAACTTTTATTTGTTTTGTCTGCTTATCTTCTCATCCGTCTGCCAAATGTAGCTTAGCTTTTTGTTATATAAGTGCACATATTATTATTTTTTCATAATCCTTTATAGCTCGCAGCTAAAAGTATTTGACTGCAATATGCAAACTAGACTTTACTTCATTTCTCTCAATAATTGCAGTTTGCAACAGCTCGAAAATGTGGTTTAAAATGTTATGTGCATGTCCTGTGTGGAAAATAGGTGCTGGCTTGTTAGCTACCGAGTACGTGAGGTTGTGTCAAAGTGCCACAGCTCGTTCCAGGACACATCTCTTGACTGTTCGCAAGCACTGCGAGCTCTTCGCTCGTTCGCAGTTTGCTAAATTTTTAATGAAAACAATATAAAATGGCAGGCAAATCTGTTGCCTGTTTCCATAATTGATGGGCGAGTCACCTGTGCGTGACTCTGGCTGGCCAAGCGGTAAGCCAGCCTTTGTCATCATCATCATGCTCGAGGGCAGCTGCAATCTTGACGGAAATTAATTAACACGTATGCATGCAGTTACTCCAGGTTGCATGCTCTATGCTCTATTTGTCTCTAGCTCTGCGGACCGGGCGCAACAATAACTCGATTTTGTCGACATTGACATGCTATCTGTCACCTGGCAGTCAAGTGAACCAACCAAGGAGCTGCTCAATGTCATAGAATTACGCAATGCAATTTGGAGCCAGAGTGTGCAGCACACACACACACACACACACACACACATATATATACACAATAGCTGTGTGACTTGCAAAAGTTTGCAGTTGCCTGGATACTTGAAGCAGGGTGAGAGAACTTTGTCCTGTTTCTGCTCCTGTTGCAGGAGTCGAGAACAACTTACAGGGTTTACGCGTCTAATGAGAAAATGGCATAGAAAGTTTTTTGGCGTAAACGAAACGAAACCTTTTGTACTGTAAGCAGTAATGCGGATTAAAAGTTATATAACTGCCTTTTCCAATTTCCAATTTTCGACTATAAACTAAATTCCTAACGAGACGAGCTGCAAAATTAAGAGTGTATGGCCTAGAACTGCTTTTATAAATATTTATTTTCAGCTGATTGGCAGCTATATAATACAGCACTCCGATGGACCTACGTTCAGTTGTCCGGCTTCAAAAATGAAAGACTAGCTGGCATAGAAACAGACAGACGTTGATGACTATATCGACTCTAAGGTTGATAATGTTCAAGAATTGCTTCTTTTAAAGGGCTCGGAGGCATCCTCAGAAGGGTATAAAACTAGATGAGCTGGAAAAAGAGACAAAAGTTGAAAAATACTTTTTCAATTAATTCGTTTAAAATCGAACTAATGCTGATTGAAGTTACTTTGATGTTAAAATCTATACTGTCTGATCTTATGATGATGATTCGCTAGAATATATCCTAGTTATTTATCTAAGAGAAAGTATGGATTTATTCGGCACACCGAAGACTCAATAGCCTTAAAGACATTTCTCTTACGGATTGTTTAAATAAAAAATACAAATATTTGTCCATAGAAAAACGTTTTTTTTCGTCCGATTCT